TTTAGCGCCTGCAACGCAGGCTACTGGTATAGCTGGCTCCAACGTCACGGTCGTACGGGAAAAAAGCGGACTATAAACAGTCTAGGGTGTTTGTTTCTAGTTCAAGATATGTCATTCGTCATCCCACGAGCTGAGAGAATTACAATTTTAATTAACGGCAAATGAATATAAGTTGAAACACTTGTACGACAAATGATCACTGATCCATTAGCAATACTGGCTTTTAATAGTGATTTTAGACGGATACTTAATTTCCAGCGGGCTACAGTATGGCGAAACTGACCTTCCTCTTTGGTCGCAGAAACCAAAGTCTTCAGCGTCTCACTGATGTCGCTTTTCATCTGCCTCAAGTCTTTTCTTGTTCTATCTGTCAGAAAGAATATACTTAGCAGAATTAAACTTGCATTGAGGACAATTTAAAGTGGATGTCTGGAAAACCGGGAAATAGACATGTATCCGATATTGAGAACAACAACGGGAATAGCAACCGGAACCAGAACCCGAAAAGAGAAGGAAATAGAGGTAGGGCTAAGGGTAGGAAGAAATAAGAAGAAATAAACGATATATCCTGCTAGAAGATAAGACATAAAGTGTAGCTACCTATAAAATCAGAGATCGTTTTAAGTTAATAACTCAATAAGAACAATTAGCAATAATGACCAAGAGTTGATATCAAAAGAATCGACCACGGGGAGACTCCAGCCCTCTTCTAGCCTTCAGATACTGACGACGGTGCCTCCATCTCAGCTCAAGATGGTTTTTTTCTTTCAATTGATTATGAGCGGTCTTCAGTTCGTTTTCTAATTACGCGAATTTTTTAAACGACCACACATGTAAATTAATAAAGCTACCCCGCGATTGTATGTTGGATTTTGAAAGAAGGGGACGTGACTTGAGATATACTATTACAATAGGGAACAGGTACTGGTGAGACAAATCGGGCTTCTGAGAGAATCTAAAACTCATCTATGGTATGATTTCAACCTTTTTAGCTGTATATTTGCATTGTGGACGAAATATAACGAGCGGACGAGATGGAAACTCCGGTGAAATGCAACATTTTTAAGATTTTCAGGGTCGCAAGATTTAAACGTATTAATTGCAAAGTGAATCTAATTAACCTTTCTCTACTTTTACCACGTGACACGTTTTCATTTCCACCATCAATGCAGTCAGTTGAATGAGGCCAGAGGTTGGGCTGGTGCCCTTATTTGGAATGAGACGGGGGGTTACTACCTTCTTAAAGCTTCTGCTGTCTCTTCTGGTAAACTTTATGTCACATTACCTTACAATATATCTATGAAACAATCCTGAAGTTTTTTGACAGCCCAGCGCCACTAGGCGTCTCGTTTACACGTGATCCAACACTTAAAATACATGTATTATCCCTCCCTTTCTGCAAGTGACGTATAGAGATAAAGGGAGGAAAGGATCGCAGACTAAAGGCGATACTGCACGGGGTGATTCACAACCACGATTTTGAGTCTTATAACAATGTTCCGAAAATGTTTTGAGTTGTCACAACATTGTTACCCGAAAATTCGTCTTTGCAAATCGCCTCGTGTAAGATATCCTTATTGAAGCAACAACCAGTTGCAAAAGTACTTGAGACACTGTACCGTGTTTTGCCATAAATAGCCAGTCCATGATCTTGTGCTTGTGATCCCCCCTCCACCCTTATCAAAGTTGCTAGCAACAGAAGACCATACTCAAAACTTAGAGGAACAACTTTGAATGGGAGGGAGGAGGGAGGAGGGAGGTCGGTATTATATCTCACAGCCCTATGACCAGCAGCAACTGCAGCATGAAAAGTCGTTTTTTCATGGGAGTGTCTCAACATTTTTGCAACTGTTTGCAGCGATAAATATTTCTACGTACAGATATGTTACTTTTTAAGGCAGTATTTTGGTTTTCTTTTGTATAATTAAGTTAAAAGTTATGAGAATTAAATTCAATCAAGATATATGACTTCTCTGTCCGGCTCATGTGGGTTCCCGATTGTTATTGTGTGTCCTATACCCGTTCCCGTTCCGGTTCTTTTTCCTATTCCTGTTCTTTATCCGGTCTCCGGGTTCCTGATTTTCCAGACGCCCATTTAAAATTGTAGCAGTTCAAATTAAAGATTATTAAGCTTCTCAGTGGCATTCTCCTCCATACACGCAATCATATTTATTCAGTGAAAGCTAATTGAATGGAATTTTATATCAAAGTATTATACATAGTAATCAAAAGAAAGGATTTCCAATTTATGGAAGTTGGAATTAACATTCTGAACTGACCTCCTTCCTCAGTTATCTTCCCGCTAATATTTTCCATTTCACTTCTCATCTGTTCTCTGATTTTACCTAAAGAGAAAAAATGATATGGTTTGTTTCTCACAGCAAAGTTAAAAAGTCATAAAATTTGAAATTTCTTCTGTTGTAAAAAAAACATTATTAAAAGTTAGCCTGACTTGAAGAATTAATAATTTAGCTTATTTTTTTGGAAACTGACCTCCATCCTCAGCAACGGAATTTCTCATGGCCTCCAGCTTCTCGCTCATGTTTCCCATTTCACTTTTCATCTGCTCTCTAAGTTTACCTAAAAAGATCAGTAAACATCAGAAATCAGTGTCCAACTTGTCAGCAGAGATAATCAGCAATTATTGAATGAGGCTGAGCATGATCTAAAAAATTCTGCAGATCTCGGAGGGTGTTATCCACCTAGATTTGCCCAATTCTTCAGGTCATACGAAAGCAGATCCAATAATTGTTAAATTGCTAACTCACCTGCTATTCGTGCCCACTTTATTTGTTGCAAGCAAATTTTGTTTAAATAAACAACTACTTTTGTGCTTTTTTGTGTAAAGTTCACATCACTGCAACTCGCTCAGTCACAGAACCACAGCCTTAAGAAGTAAAATTATTGAACCTGTTTGTAGTTCTTGAGATGTCGGTTTATGTTTGTTAAATGCGTTTTTGTAAGGAAAAAGTTTATTTTGTCTAATTCCAAGCTTTCGTTTCAGCCCCACTAACACCTTATTATAATCTTTTAGTAAATTTAAGCTCAGAAATAAAAAAAACCTATTTAGAACTATTAATAGAAAACACTTCAAAACCTTTATTAGTTAATACCTTCCATCCTATCAAGTTGGTCCTTAATGTTATCTTCGTCTTTCTTCCATCCTTTTAACAGCTCTCGGTAATGCTTCTCTGTATCTGGATCCATAGTCTCAGTTTTCAGTTTTGTGATAGCCGCTGCATCTACACCCAGTAAAACCAGTGTGGCACTTACATCCTGCCACAAGGAATTAAATGTTGGATTGTCCACAGATGCCTGGCTGGCATGCCCATAGACCGAGTTCCTATAGCACTTTACTCTGGCTATGTTAGCCTCAACACTGGTGTCTGAAGCAGGTGGCAGACTATCCCAGCCTGTGGCAGGAGCAGCCAGACCACAGATATTCCTCAGCAGCACCATCAGTAACGTGATGTCAAAGTCGTCTGATGTTACAGATGAAGGAGGAGAAGGATACAGCTTACCCCATTGTGTAGCATTGATGATTCTCTTCCTTTTAAGGGACTGCAGCGTTGAATGTTCCGCAGAACCAGCTTTCAAAACATTAAACAGGTTTGCTGCGGAGTGGATTTTGTCAAATGTGTATCTCAAGGCCTTGGCGCCTCCATCTACTAAAAGGCGACATAATCTTGCATAATTAGTCGTCTCCTTCGAGGATGGAGCTAATGTTGGAGCAGAAGCCATCAGAGTAGACCTGCAAGACACATATCATTACAACCAAAAAGGAGCCAAAGTTTCACTTAATGCGGTACATCCTATTTCCCACTAGTGCCTAAAGTGGAAAGTTGTCTTTGTCATTTACCTTGAAATAAGAAATAACCATGATATGCTCCTACACCACGCCCCTTGGAAGCAGGTTAGAATTAGAAATACATCTGTACCGTGGATAAGTGATAAAATACTATATAAAATGAATCAACGGTATAAACTCTTTAGGAAGGCGATTAAACGAAGTGTCCCTTATTGTGGCAAGAATACAAACGAGCGAGGAATGAGGTTACCTCTGCCTTAAGACAAGCTAAGGCTAGTTACTTCTCCAATATGTTTGACGAGGTTAAGAATACGACCATGTATTGGAAGCTACTTAAAAAAGCAACAAATCCTACTCAACCCGCGAAGACCATAAGTCCTTTGAAAAGAGAAGATGATAGTCTTGCACTGCTTGACGAGGAGAAAGCTGCTTTCATTTATTTCATTTATTGGTTTTTAGTCACTCACACTAAATAAAAATAAAACGTTACAAGAGGTGTTAATTAAAATATAAGTTGTTGTGACAAGGAAGCCTAAAGAAGCTGGGGGTTTATATTAATAGGCTTCCTTAGGGTATACTACAAAGGCTTACTTGATTGCAGAGTGTGTAGCAAACATAAAACTTAATCGACAGAACAACTATAAATGAGATAATCTCAAATATGGGGGAGGAAGTGGTTATAGTGTAACTGGCAAAGAATTTCAAATTGTTGGCCCTCGATAAATTGGAGGCTGTTCAGCGAAGAGCTACCAGATGGATCACTAGGTCTGATGATGATTATGATACTAGACTATCTAAGCTAAAATTGTTGTCATTATCTAATAGGAGGTTCACTAGAGATGTTACATTTTTTTTTAATGTAATTAATGGGCATTATGATATTGACATTTCAATAAGCTCATATTTTGTAAGGACAGAAATACAGGTTATAACTTGAGGAAAAATGACACACAGGACCTTGTTCCAAATTTTAGTACAACTGACGGTTTTAAATATAGTTTTTTTAACCGGGTTGTAGATGAATGGAATGGTTTACCCAATCATATTAGAGAATCAAACAGTATTGCAACCTTTAAAAGAAATGTTTTAAGCTTTATTAAGGATAACTAGAACATTTAGATTTCTATTTGTATATATTTTTGTTATATTTTAATTAGTGGGGGCATCCCTAGTATGGCGCATTGGCGCTTTTGGTTGTCTCCTTCTCCACACCTTTTTTTTTCTTTTTCTTTTTCTTTTTCTTATAGTAGTGTTACCTTATTTTGTAATGCTTGTAATGTAGTGGAGTGAATTTGTAATAAAAAAGGATACTGAACTGCTTAATATTAGTTCTACAAAAATGAGGACTATACTGAGAGGCTAGTCGAGTTTCATAATGGTGAACCTGCTGGTTACTACGTACTTAAAAAGAGGTTACGAAAGCTACTAGGCAAAAGATTATGGTGATAGGAATACATAAATGTAGCAACAGAAAAAGAATTAATGCTATATATGTCAAGGACTTTAAGTTTGCTAAATGATGAGGCGGTATTTGCTAGATAGTGAGCTTTTGATATAAGCTGCACTATTCGCTTTTGCAAAAGGTAAATACAGTTTAGGTTAGAGCAATAGATTACATAGGTGGAGTTTTCCTACAACTGTCTGAACAGTCACTCAAGACCAGTCCTCTCTTAAACCTTAAATGGACAATAAAAGGAATCACCTAGGGGAAGTAAAAGTTGTTTACATGAACTTAAAAAAGTTCTGTAGAAGTTTCAGGTTTTTCGCCATTAAATCACCCATACCATTTTTTTTTCTCCAAAGTCGCAACCCTTGTTTACAAGTTCATGGCAAATTTTGATTTGGGATGAAGAGTGTAACTGCTGTACAAAATAATTGCAAATTAGAGAGATTTAACACTTTTTGGGTCTAGGTAGCTTAACAATAATCACCAAGCTACGAATGAGTAATACTATGGCCTATGTTCGAGATGGTATTCCTTATCGACTTAGACCTGATCTTGGAGCTTTTTTACCTGAATCTTGTGTCATCGAAACCTCCCGACCTAAATGCAAGAAACTAATTATCTGGACAATGTACAGAGCACCTGATTCGAATCTGGAAACGTTTATTCAAGATTTAAATACATCTTTGTCATCTGTGCCCGTTAAGACTGAGCTTATTTTGCTCGGGGATTTCAACATAAATTTTGCAAGCTCTGAGATGAATAATGATAAAGCCAAGAAGTGCAAACTTCTCCAGGTGGCAAATGTTCATCACCATGACCAAGTGAGTAACACATCAACGAGGATAAAAGAAACGTCATCTACACTGATTGACTTATTGTTTACTAACACTTTTCATCGTGTTATTGACCGAGGCGTTATTCCATCACCTTTAAGCGACCATTGTTTGATCTTCTGTGTTATCAAATCAGGTGTTCCCAAGGCTCCAGGGAGAACCATCGAATATCGGTCATACAAACATTATTCAAAGCAGGAATTTGTGAATGACTTGAAAGAAATTGACTGGAACCAAGCTCTAAACAAGCAGGACATTGACTCCGCGGTAAATGATTGGAACAATCTTTTTACTCATGTTGCCGATAGTCATGCTCCGATGAGGAAATCAAGAATTAAAGGGGTCCGTTCTTCCTGGATAAACGCACAGCTATCTGAAGCTATGCACCAACGAGATTATTACCATCGTAAAGCCCTGAAAACAAAGTCTGCCAATCATTGGTCACGCTATAAGGAACTTAAGAACTACGTAAGTAAGCAGACAAAGAGATGTAAATCGGAATACTAGTCTAAGCTTATTACCGAAAACAAATCGAATCCAAGTGCATTATGGAAAACTCTAAGCGACATAACATCTCGCAAAGAAAGAACTCCCATCTCCTGCATTGAGGCCGACGGTGTTCAATACTCCAACAATAAATCTATCGCCAAGATTCTGAATGAACACTTTTCAACAATTGGAACTAAATTGGCGCAAAAGCTCAAGTCTTGTGGATCCCACATGTACTCGGCGCCTCCGGTAAACTCGAATCTACCCCATGAATTTGCTTTCGAGCCAATTACGGAAGACTTTGTTCTTCGTCAGCTTAAGCAGCTCAAAACCAATGAAGCCATTGGCCTAGATAATATCAGTGCTCGTCTACTGAAAGATTCAGCCTCAGTAATCAGTGCCAGTCTTACTAGATTATTTAATCTTTCCCTGGAAACTCACACCTTTCCTTCTCTTTGGAAATTTGGAAAAGTGGCAGCGTTATTCAAGAAAGGTGATCGCTGTGATGCTAACAATTACAGACCCATTACTGTGCTGCCAGCGATCAGTAAAATTCTAGAAAAAGCCGTGCACACCCAACTGTACGCTTATCTTAAGAACAATGGTATCCTAGCTTACATCTAAGCAATTTGGGTTCAGGCCAAAGTTATCAACTGGAATAGCGCTATCTCATTTCACAGACAATATCCTCCAGAATATGGACGCTGGTTCCTTTACAGGTGCTGTTTTTCTGGACCTGTCTAAGGCCTTCGATACAGTGGATCATCCCCTGCTGCTGCAAAAATTGACGAACATCGGTCTTACCACCTCTACCACCCAGTGGTCTAGATCGTACCTCACAAACAGATCTCAAATTACATCAGTTGGAGATTCTCACTCTGCATCTACCGAAATGCCTGTTGGAGTACCCCAAGGCAGTATATTGGGACCTTTATTGTTTTTAATTTACGTCAAAGATCTTCCGGACTGTCTCCTGGCAAGCGATATTATTCTTTATGCGGACGATACTGTACTCTATTACTCATCCAAAAGCGTCAGTGATCTTGAACATCACATCAATGCTGACTTGGGGACAGTGTCTGAGTGGTTCTCTAGAAATCTCCTGACACTAAATATATCCAAATGTAATTTTGTTATCTTTGGAAGTCCTAAGAAACTGAATCGTATTCAAGGCATTTCGGTTAAAGTAGAGGGCACTAGCATTGAAAGAACTCAATCATTCAAATACCTAGGGGTAACGCTTCAACAGTCTATGTCCTGGGCAGATCATGTCGATGCTATCAGCATGAAGATTAATCAGAGAATAGGCCTAATTAGGAGAATCAGGAATCTATTGCCGATACAAGCTAGATTTGCCTTGTACAATACCCTAATCCTTCCTCTTTTTGATTACGGAGACGTTATATGGGGGGACAAGAACAATGACACCATCATGTGAGAATTACAGATTCTACAGAATAAAGCTGCTAAAGTTATGCTGGGGCAACCACCCCGAAGCTCGTCAACTGAAGCACTGAAAAGTCTAGATTTGAAGTCACTGTCCACAAGAAGGTTTTTTCATCGCTGCATTGCAATCCACAAGTGTCTTATTGGAGAAACCGATTTCAACTTTAATTTTACTAAAAGTCAAGCTGTTCATTCATATAATACAAGACGCTCTAATGATATTCGCTAACCCCTACCCAGAACAAACTGGGGTAAACAAACTTTTATTTTTCACGCCGCGAAAGACTGGAACAGCCTTCCAAATGATTTAAAAGAGTGTAATATTTTATCTATTTTTAAATCCAAGTTAAAAACTTTCTTAAAAGATCTCAGCTAATTTTAAACCTTGATATTTTTTTGTATAATCGATTTTAAGATTTTAAATTTTTAAATTTGTTTTACTTGTAAACATATTTTACTTTTTTCGTAATTATTAATTAATTAGTTAGATTAATGCATGAGGGCCCCACTGAAAATCGCCTTGGCGAGTTGGGCTCCCTCTATAAATATTATTATTATTATTATTATTATTATTATTATAATACGGGGGCACAATTTGTTAGTAACTCAAAGGTGAGCGGCGCCAAGCGAGCATAAAACAAAAAACCTCCCGACTGCGAGTGTCTCTGTGCGGAAAGTCTACTAAGCAGCAACTGAATTTCTTAACAACTGTTAACTA